AGGTCTAGGACTTGCAGCTGCCGCAGATACTCGTAGTTGCCCGGGTCATAGGCGAAGTTAGCGAGGTTGGCAAGGACTTGTTCCTTGGCATCTGCAATAGGAAAGCGGTCCCGGGGTTGGGCCCGTGCGGCTGCTGCCATAGGAGCCCTTGCCCGGTCCCTCGCGCCCACCCCACACCTCTCACCTTGGCTCTCGGTCTCCTGGAACTCATTGACCAGCGCCTGCAGGTACCCTAGCCGCCCGACGTGGGGGTCTACCTTGGGTTTCTGGGCCATGGCTGGAGCGGCGAAGGAGCCGGGAGGACGGGTGGGAGGAAGAGGCCACAAGGTCGCGCAAAACCCTCGCCTGAACCCTGATCTGTCCCGGGAGGCGACAGAGCGGCAGGCAAACCCGGTCCGGTCCTGGGTTTGAATCTGCAGTGATTTGCAGCTGGAGATGGGATCTGGGGATGGGTAGGGATCTCAGGATCCTGGCAGAGCCGGGTAAGGATTGGATACCAGAGGCACACCCCTCACTTCGCTCTCCACACCGCTTCCGGGCTCAGGGCGGAAATCGCTCTAGTCCCGCCCCAGGGAGCGGAAGGGGCAGGACCAGAAGGGATTGCAGGGCTTCCCCGGCGATTTCGCGAGCTCTAGGCTTTAGGCGTCAGCAGCGCAGCCGCGGGTTTGCGGAAAGGGAGGGAGGAGGGAAGGCGGGGAGGAGGGAAGGCCGGGAGGAGGGAAGGCGGGGAGGAGGGAAGGGAAGGAAGGGAGGGAAAGATGGATGGAACTGACTGACTGAAGGACTTTATGGTTATCTAGGCATGGTGGTACTTTAACCCCAGCACTCGGAGGAAGAGGCTGGAGGACCTCTATGAATTTGAGAACAGCCAGAGTTCAAGGCAAGCCAGGGCTACATGGCAAGACCCTGCCTACAAAACAAAACAAGACCCCAGACCAAAACAAGATCTAAGGGTCCCAAGGAGCATCAGGGAGGGAGGCAGCTTTGCCATGCTGTTGCCATGGAGGTGGAGGATGCAGGCAGAAAGATTTTTTTAGGGCAAGGGTCAGGGGTCAGGTACTTAGTTATGTTTGATACCAGGGTCCTGGGTTATAGCAGAATGGGTTATGTACTTTACCTTTTCCTGGCCCCCACGTCTAGGGTTCAAGGCTGTGGTTAATCCCTGCCCAGTACCAACCTGGGACAAGAGTTTTGCCCTGGTCTGGGTGCTTAAGTACTGAAGCTGCCCCATGAGAACTCTGGGCCCATTGGTTTTTGTGGAGCCTGTCTAGCCTGGGGAAATACATCTCAGCTCAAGATGGCCAGGAGTCTCCTCGGTGTCTGATTAGAAAGATCTGGGGACCAGGAGCCAGAAACTTGGGGACAACAGGGAAGCAAGTTCCACCTTTATGTGGCCGGGAAAGGCCTCAGACCATCCCTAGAAGATTTTTGAGGGGATCAGCAAAGTGTGGGTTCTGGAATCTCAAAGGCCATTCAAGTCTCCCTTGTTTGCAGGGTCCTTTGGGAAAGAACCTCAGCCTTTGGATTTGTGCTGAAGGCAGAGTGACTTGGATTCGTTCTCTGTCCAGTCCCTGGAACACAGTAGATGCTCAATAAATACTTGTTAAGGAATTTCACCCAGAGATTTCTTTTTTGTTTGTTTGTTTTTCGAGACTGGGTTTCTCTGTAGCTTTGCAGCCTGTCCTGGAACTAGCTCTTGTAGACCAGGCTGGCCTCGAACTCACAGAGATCCGCCTGCCTCTGCCTCCCGAGTGCTGGGATTAAAGGCATGCGCCACCACCGCCCAGCTAGAGATTTCTTCTTGTGAACTTACTGTGTAGCTAAGAATATCTCATCCTCCTGCCTCCACCTTCCGAGTGCTGGGGTTACAACACACACACTTCTAGGCTTAGCTGAGTGGGGAGATTGAACCTAGAGGCTGGTGCACACTTCCATTCTAAGCTACATTCCTATCCTCATTTCTTCTTTGCTTGTTGCCCGTGGATTGTTGCCATTATTACCAACGGGCAAGTGAGATGAAAGTTTCCTAGCTGGAGGCTCATGGATACCTTTCCTTAACTGTCTCCTGGAAGTGGACCTGTTAGCCAGCCCCAACTCTGTTTTCCTTTAGGGTGGAAAAACAGGTCCTGGCATTTTCCGTTCTGAGCACAAGCTATGCCTGGTGGCCAAGCTCAGGACCAAGTTGGGATCAGGAAAGCAGGGGTGGTTAGACACAGAGGCAGACTTTTCAGTCTGAAGGTGACATAATCTCATACAGGCCAAACTTTTTTAAAAATTATTTTTATGTGTATTTATTTTTGTGTGTATTTGTATGTGCATGCCACAGTGTACCTGTGGAGACCAGAGAACAACTTGTGGTAGTGGGACCTCTCCTACCACCACGCGGATCTCTGGGATCAACCCCAAATTGCCAGGCTTGGCAGTAAGCACCTTTACCATCTCCATCCAAGATCTAGAGATTGTGACCACGAAGCTGGTGCATCGCTGCAGTACTGCCTTTGGCAATGAGGGGGCACTCGCAACAGCATCTTAGAGGAGCTAGGCTAGTCCTAAAGATGCTTATTCATGCCAGATGGATGGATATGCGGAGGAGGAAAGCTGGCGTCAGCCATGAAAATAAAATCATTTTTCCTGATAAGGTTTTCTCGCTGGAGCCTGGTTGAGCTTGAACCAACAAACAAGACCAAGAAGTTTCTGCCAAGCTGGGAGAGCAGAGGAAATTTACTCAGGCCTGTTTTCTTCTTTATTAGTTCAGAGTTTATGACCCGCTGCCTGCAGGGAATGTTTTTGTGTATAATTCAAACAGTCTGTTTTCCCATTCCCTGGAGTGCCCTGCTGGAACAAGCCTGGGCTGATGACAGACAGCCCTGTGTGCTGACCTCAGAGGGCAGCACAGAAGTGTGTACGCAGGCATAACTCCAGGCCTTGGGGTCAGGCTAGCAACAACCACTGCTGATTTAGCCCGCGATTGCCTCAGGGTTGATACCTCCAACACATCCCTGCGAAAGGGGAACCTCAGAAGGCCAAGAGCAGAGCACAGGCTACTGTTTGCTCAAGCCCAGTTTTACAGTGTCCTGTAGGCTGCCTAGCCGGCTGGCCTTCCTGCCTCTCGGTCGGTCAAATGTCTGCCTTTCCCTATGTGGATACAGAGTGGGGTAAAAGAGAAGATGCTGGTTCAGGCCCTGCTTGATGGCAGAAGACTCCTCAGACTTCATAAATTCTGAGACCCAAGCAGGAGGAACCCTGCAAGACAGCAGTTTCCTCTCCTGTCCTCTCCAGAGGTGTTAGGACCAGAGCGCCACCAAACAGCCAGTTTGACCCCATCCTGTATTGAGGCCAATGTTCTCATCCTGACCCTCCATCTCTGCCTCTCCTATGGCTCCAGTCAACGTGAGGCTCCACCTCTCAAAGCAACTCCCTTAATCTTCCTGACCTAAGGGGTCAGGGCTGATTATTTGGGAAGAGGGGAGGAGAAAGTTCTTGGAAGAAAGGAGAATTCTTCAAAATTCTCTGGAGGCCATGGAGGACGAAGAGAGCTGACACAGGAAGGCTGGGTGGGAAGACCTCTGGTGTCAGGTAGGAGCAACTGTGAGAGACAGCGCAGATGAGCCAGGCATAGCTGCTCACGTAGGACTCAGATCCATCTTCTTGGGATCCAAGGAAGAAGGCCAGGAAGGCCCATTTCTACACTCTGCTTCCTGGAAGGAAGGTCTCTCACGGACCCCAGAGCTCAGCTTGGAGGCAGGTCACATGTGACCTCTGGAGTTCAGACACTGGTCACATAGCATATGCTTTCAGGGCACAGTTGCTTCCTGGCACCGTCCTTGTCTTCTGAGCTAAGACCCTGCATTGGGGCAGACTCCGAGATGGCATCTTCCACCTTGGCTTGCCCATTTTGCTTCAGCTTCTTCTTCTTCTTCTCCTCGGCGTAGAAGCCCCCGCCGATGAAGAGGGAGGCTGAGATGAGCAAGAAGCTTGAGGCGTAGAAAATGGACTTGAAGTTGTTGGTCATGTCCAGCAGGAGCCCTGAGGGACAGAAAACGAGTTACTCCCCCACAGAAGCTAGAATGGGTCCTCCAACTAACTTGTGTATTTGAGGAGGGTAGAGATTTTAGAGTCACAAGAAACTGGGGCTGGTACCTTGGAGGTGCACAGTAGATACGTGTGGAATAAAAGGAGGGGAGGAAACACCTGGCTTCTGGCCTAGGCAGATGTCCTCCCCAGGAGAGAACCAAAGGGCCCTTTACCCTTGGTGGCAGGGCAAATGGAGATAAGGGTCAGTGGAATCCGAGCTGTTTGCCCAGTCATGACTTTTGGCCCTAACCCTATCTTTTTAGGCATTCATTTGCCTGCAGAGCTTCCTGGGAAACTGGAACTCACTGATACTGGGTGATGAGGGCGCACACCTTTAGTCCCAGCACTTGGGAGGTAGAGGCAGGTGAATATATGAGTTCGAGGCCAGCCTGGTCTACAGCATGAGTTCCAGGGTGGCCAGGGCTACACAGAGAAATCCTGTCTCAACAAAACAAAACAAAACAAAAAACACAAAACAACACAAAACAAAACAGCAGCAACAACAACAAAACAAAGCCGAAAAACCAAAAAAGCAACTCATTGAGCTGAGTGTAGATAGTCTGGCCATAGTCACCGCCACACCACTTGAGTGCCGGCTACCCCCAGGACCAGCTTTCTCCCACCCGCCCTGATGGTCTCCCTCAGGTGTGCAGTGTGCAGTAGCCTTCCCCTATGGGCCTCATCTTACAAATTCTGCTTGTTTTCCTCCTAGCGTCAGCCCCCACGTGTCCCTTTGCTGCCATCACTGAAGGTCAGGCCCAAGAGTGGGGCTTTGACCGGGTGCACTCTGTGACTGGTCTGGGTAGAACTGGATGTGTTCCCCTCTGCATTCGGTAGCTGGCATTCTAGCTCAAAGAGAAAGAGCAATTGCCTGGGACTCACAGGCGGGAGAGCCAGGCTGTTAATTACAGTAAATGCAGGTACGGCTCTTATCCCTCTTATCTGTGAGTCTACCCTTTGCTTTGGACCTTGGGATCCTTACTGCAAGGCGGTGCTTTTTATCATTGTGCTTCACTGATAGGAGAAGAAGGGCAGAAAAGATGACGACAGATTCACATAGGCCTGGAGTGCAAAACTCTCCCCTCTGTTTCTCCTTCCTTCTCTCTCCTCCCTTAAAAGAACTTTTACTGAAGTGTATAAGAATTTTGTGTTCGTGTGTAAATGCATGCCACATGTGTGCAGTACCCACAGAGGCCTGAAGGGGGCATTGAATCCCCTGAAACTGGATTTGCAGATGGCTGTGAGCCATCATGGGGTACTGGGAACTGAACCCAGGTCCTCAGCAAGAGCAACAGTGTTCTTAACTGTTGAGCCATCTCTCCAGCCTCTCCCTCTCTTAAAAGAGATTCATTTATGTATTGTGGTTGTTTTACCTGCATGTTTATAAGTGTACTTTGGAGGTCTGAAGAGGGCGCTGTACTCCCTAGAGCTGGAGTTACAGTGAACAGTT